GTCGACCATCTCTGAACTCCTCCGTCTCCCGTGCTTCCACCAGACCTGCTTTGCTGGTCTAGACCCTAGACCAGGGGTGTCCGGCCCTGAGCACACAGCACACCCCCCCCCCGGGGAGCCTGCAGATCAGCGACACCTGGGTCCCGCCTCACGGGCTCAGGCATGACTGGACTCAAGTCCTGCTCGTCGGGGTCCCTAAAGGCTCCCCCAGGTAACTCCATGTTTTGCCAAGAGTGAAAACCACCACTTGAGACCTTGCCGTGTTATTGCACGTAATAAGCTCTAAGACTAAAAAGTAATTTGAAAAACACTAATTGCTTGAGCACAGAGACACAGTCTGTACACAGAGAAAATACAAAGACCCTGATATAGGGTCAGCATTATTTTAAAAACTGCTGAATTGACTTCATCTCACAAAGATTTATGGTTTCGTATGGTTTTCCCATGCTGTACTTGTGTCAAAGACCAGTATTTTTTTTAATAAATCCTTATAAGGAAATATTTTTGCTTCATTGTGGGAAAGACCAAGATTTTGAACTCCTGTTAACTCACTACTTGATTCCAGGATCATAAAATCTTTAAATTGGATGTATTACCTAACACACTTTCCTCAAAATACTACAAAGTCTAGTCTCTGCCTACCTAGAAAGTTCAACGATGGAGAATGAAGGGCGCTCCTTTATGAAGACGTCTTTCCATCCCTGGATACCCGATACTATTAGGAAGTTATTATTTTAAGCAGATACTGTCCTCGCCTTGGTCCTGCCGAAGCCCAAATCACCTTTAAACCCAAGAGCGTCTGCTGCAGCCATGTATGCTGAATTCCGCTGCTCTTAGCTCATCCTAGTGGTCTAGTCTCCTTGGCGAGGAAAGTAGAGTTCCTGAAGTCATCCACAGCCAAAATGGCCCAAACTGATCTGAGCATGAGAGGACTTGTTTATTCATTTGACTCAAGGTCTGTGTGTCTCAGCACTCTAGAAATGAAGGATTACAAATATTCCTCCAACAGAGAACAACAACTGAGCAGGGGCCACCTAAAGGGGAGCTTGGGAGAAAACTTTGTACCACTGCACTAGAACAAACAAACGGAAGCCATACAGGACCATCAGGGTCACATCATGACTTAGCACAAACTAAAATAAGTACCATAAAGAGAAAAGTCCAATCTCACTCATCTTTACATCCCCAGGACAGTGCTGGGCACCGAGCAAATGCTCATTCAATAAACACGACCCTCACGGACGCCCACAGGAGGCTTCCTTCACTCCGGGACTGCCCCCCACCCCCGGCACAGGTGGCGTATACTGCCAGACCCCCAGCCGGTACCTGAGACCACAGGGTGCTGAACCCTTGCTGTATGGTTTTCTCCCACACAGACGTACCTCTCACTGACTCTAACTCGGAAATCAGGCACAGTGAGAGATTAACAGTAATAGAACAAGCAACTCCACGGTTTGCTGTGGAAGCCCAGTGAATGTGGTCTCTCTCCCTCTACATCTCTTACCAGGCGGCACTCACCCTTCCTCTTGCAACATCAAGCGAGACACCGTGACCCAGCATTCGTCTACCACAACCTTCTGGTAACAGGTCAGAAGAGGCCCACCTGCTTCCAACCGCAGGGAGCGGAAACCACAGGTATGAGGGGGGACTACTGTACGTATGCCCTAAGCTGAAACGTTGTTTAGTGGGCCTACTCCTAATGTCTTCTTGAGGTTTCCATTCTGCCATCCTTCCCTCTGGGAACTCTAGACCTCGAGTGTCTGCTCCTGTCGCCACCAACAGTGCTCCCACCATCACAGGACACACATGGCCCTCAAGAGCCTAGGCAGGGACCCTGCTCTCGGGAGCTGAGCTCTGCCATCCAGCCCCGAGCAGGGCCTGCCCATCACAGGAAGTTCTTTTGCATATGTGTTGAAGAAATTTAGTGATTCAGTGTAGGACTTATATTCAACAAGAAAAAATAATGCAACACACACTTCAGAGTCAAATCCCAACTCTGACACTAGCTGAGTGGACCTTCCACTCCACTCAAGCCTCTCTGACCTCTGTTCCCCATCTGTAAAAAGCCCCACCAACCTTCCAGGTTTCTCTTAAGAATAAAATCCATAATGGGAACAGAAAACAAAAGCATTTCAGATAATGAGAAACATTATTAAGACAGTCAACTGACAGAGCAACGGTCCTCAAACATTTTGATCTCAGGGTGTTTGTACATTTTTAAATATTACTGAGGACCCCAAAGACCCTAAATTTATACACATTATATCGTCATTTGCCCTACTAGAAATTAAAATTAAAACTGAGCACTTTTTAAAATATTTATTCACTTAAAAACAACCCTATTATATACACACTTTTATGAGAAATATATTCTCCAAAAAGGTGATTAAGAAGAGTTTTCTCTTTTACAAATCTTTTTTAATGTCCGGAGTCCTCATGTCTGCCTCTGCATTCCCTCCGTTGCTCTATGTCGTGTTTTATTTTCCTGCAAATTATCTTACTTGGAGTACGTTCAGCATGTTGTTTTCGAATGAAATGCAGGAGAACACCACAGCTTCCCACAGCGCGGGCCACGGCCGCCTGCATTCCAGCAGAGGCGTGAGCAACTGTAGCCGACTCGTACCATCAGCGCCCAGGGAAAGTGAGTGAAATAACTGGACAGTATCGCTATGAAAATGTGTGGTGGGCACAGCCCTCCGAGTGTCTCCAGGAACCACCGGTGAGAACCACTGTGGCCAAGGACGGCTGGTGTGCGACCTTCCTCTCAGACATGTCTGCGGGAGGCCTCTGCTGGGAGCTGGAGCACCAGGCCTAAGGCCGAGCAAGGGCAGGCGGACTCTCAGGAAGGTCAGGGCACAGGCCTCCACTGCCAGGCCGAGAACAGGACCCTGAGCCCTCCGCAGGCAGGATCAATTAGGATCCCGCAGGAATGTGGATTTTACCTTAAGGAATGAGCCAGCCTTTGAAGAGATTTAATCAGGGTGTGGCCATTTCATCTGCACCGTAAAGAGCCCCCCCAGGCTGATGGCCTAGGGCAGGGCGAGGCGCCAGCAAGTCCACCCACAGACCTGGAAAGGGGAGGCCACGGGAAACGTGGCTTCGAGGCAGAAGCTGCAAGAGTCGCTGTGAACGGTCTGGAGGACTCGGACGGGGACTACTTGTACCTTTAGGGCTGGACAAACCCAGGTGGACACTGAGGCCACTTGGGAAGCTGGTAGGGACGGGGGCTGTGTCCCGGCCTTGGGTGGAGGCGCCTTCCCCGCGGGCCGCCGCGACGCCCCGCACCTGCTGTTTTCGGCCATAAAGGACTGAACGGAACGAGGCCAGCGAGAGCAGAGCGCGGCCCTCAGGACCCGCCTGCACGCCACAGCCACGCATCCGACGCGGGGCTCCCGTCCCGCAGGACCCGGCCGGCCCGCACCGCTCCCGCCGCCGCCCCGGCTCCCGCACAGCCCGGCGAGGGCGCCGCGTCCTCCGAAATTCCCGTGGATGCCGACACGTCCGTGACCGCGTGTCCGGTCCGCGGCCGACCTGGAGGGCCTCGGGCATGGGGTCCGGCCGGTCCGTCCTCCGGCCAGTCCACGCCACTCGCTCGTCCGCGCCGCCCTCCTGCTCCACGCGGCGAGGCCCGCTCCGATCCGCCGCTCCCGCAAGGGACCCTTCTCCGTCGCGAAGAGCAGCGCAGGGGCCGCAGGCCGGCGCCCGTGGGTCCACCGACCGCTCCCGGGAAGGGGCCCGGGGTCCCAGAGCTGCGTCACCGGCCGGCGAGGGGACGAGGACCGGGAGTCCACGCGCCCCGGCCCGGCCCCCACGCAGCCGCCTCTGCCAGCGCTGCGGTCCCCCGGTCTCGGCCCCCGGGACCCCGCCCCCGCCGGCCCGCGCGCCCCGGGCCCGCCCCGGACCCTTCCCGGACCCTTCCCGGGCCTCCCCGGCGGGGCCGCGCCGCGAGCGCGCACTCGGCAGTCCGGGGCGACCAGGCCGAGCCGGTCGCCTCTCCCGCGGCCCGCCTGTGGGGAGGACCCCGCCGCCCGCCCGCCCGCCCGTGCCACGCGGGGCCCCGGAGACGCCGGCCCGATCCGGCCCTGCCCGGCCGCCCCGAGACCCGCCCCGGGGAGGGCGCCTCCCTCAGGAAGGCCGCCTCCCTCAGGAAGGCCTCCCGCCGCCGGGGAGCGCCGGGCCGGGCGGGCGGGCCCGGGAGGCCGGCTCCCTGCGGGCGGGCGGGCGGGCGCAGGACGGAGGGGGGCGGCCGACGGAGGGGAGCGAGGGAGGGGGGCGGCGGGGAGGAGGGCGGAGGGCGGCGGCGCGCACCTCGCCCCCGGCCCCGCCGCCGCCGCCCGCCCGGCCCAGGAAAGTAGGCCCAGCCCGGCGGAGGGGCCGCCGCGCCGCGCCGGTATCATTCCGCCCGCGCCCTGCGGCCGCCAGTCGGGCGGCGGCGGCGGCGGCGGGGACGGCGGTGGGGCGCGGCGGCGGCGGCCCCCGCCCCGACCCCGGCCCGGGCCCCGCTGCCCGCCCCCGGCCCGCCGCCCCCGGCCGGCCCGTTCCCGGCGCCCTCCGCGCCGCATCCGGGGACTATATTCGCGCGGAGCGGCACAGCGCGGCCGGCCGGGCCGGAGCCGCTTACCGGTGTCGCCGCGCGCCTTGCTCTCCTTGGGCTTCGGGGGGCGGCCCCGCGGCATCGTCGGCGGCGGCGGCGGACCACCCCTCGGCCGCACACACACTCACACACATACACTCGGCGGAGCGCGCACGCGCGGGGACCGGCCGCGGGGGCGCGGCGCGCGCCCGGCCGAGTGGCGGAGGCGGGCGGAGCGGCCCGGGCGGGCGGCCGCCGAGCCGGGTCCGAGCGCCCGCGGGCCTCACGGGGGGAAGGCGCCGGACCGCGCGAACGGGGGAGCTAGAACCGCGCCAACTTCGGCGGGTTCCATGGCCGGGCGGGCCGCGTTAGGGGCGTTGGGCGCGGGCGCGGGCGCGGGGTGGGGGCGGGGAGGGGCGCCGTGCGCATGCGCGTTCCGCCGTTCGGGCCTGGTGTGGACCGAGGGCGAGCGGGCCGCGGTCACCTGGCGGCCGCTGTCCCCGACGGCGGGCGTGCGGGGGGCGGGGGGGCCGCGCGTGCCCTGAGTCTCCCCCGGTCCCTGTTGGAGCGGGCGGCCGTGGTCACTCGCGGTCCCTCCTCAGTGCCGACGGCCGGCATGAGAGGGCGGGCGGCCCGAGGTCACTCTGGGTCCCCCCCCTCGCAGTCCGGACGGCCGGAGTGGGGCGGGCGGGCAGTGGTCACCCCTTAGTCCCGACGGACAGCACGAGTGGGGAGCGGGAGTGCTGTGGTCCCCCTCGGCCCTGGGCTGAGCCGGGCAGCCGTCCCAGCGTGTGTCCAGCCGACGTCACCCGCTGGGACAGCCGTCAGGAAAGCAAGAAAGGTGCCGTTCGACCCGGCCCAGGTGGTGAGAAGGAGCTTGCTGGGGGGAGGGGCGGGTCAGAGCCGGGGTCCCTGATGTGCCCGGGCCTCGGTGTGCCTGCCCGTGTTCCCGGAGTCCATGTAACTGCAGCGGGCAGCGGCGCGGCCGTCCCGGGCCCAGCCGCACGCGCGCTTCTGGGCAGGGCCGGGCCCACACTCCGCAGCCAGGGCCGTGGGCGGAGGGCGGGTTACAGTGTCCACTTGCACGTGTGTGCGTCTGTGGTTTCCGCTGACCCGCGCTGACCTCCGCGGAACCGTGAGTGCGGGGCCGAGCGGGAAGCCGTCCTCTGCCCCAGTCCCGGCCGCCCCAGGAGAGTGAAGCCGTGCGCTGCGATGACCCCCTGCATGCCAGGCGTTCCGGGGCCACAAGGGGAAAACAGTGTCTTCCCCCCAAAATCTTGCAGCTATGGGACAAGAAAGACAAAAGTAGCCAATAATGATAAAGATTTTTAAAATGTAATGGAGAAATTTAAGGACGACATAAATTATGGTTGGAAAAATAAATAAGAAAGACACTCTTAACTAAAATTTGGTCAGTGCCTGCATTCTGCCCAGAGATGGTAAGAATAGGGCTTCCCAGGGAGAGGGAGCAGGGTAAAAGAGGGGGGGAGTGTATTTTCTCAGGAGCTTTATATCTGTTCACTTTTGTTTACATGTATTCATTCAAATCCTGATATTCAAATCCTGGAAAAAAGAAAAAACATGCAATAATCCTATTTGAAGAGAAATAAGCTCAGAGAGGTTACTAAACCTCTGACATCAGCCAGAGAATAGCAAATGTTAACATCTTTTTAACTACTCACATTTGAGTGTTGTACGTAATCCTGCAAGGTGCCATTTTACAGACGGTAGTGCTGAGGTTCAGAGGGGCTAAATGCGATGAAGGGTGCATAGCCCAAGGGAAGTCCAGGGTGCAAACCATATGTGCTCACCTGTTCATCCGTGTACATGCTTGGATCAAAACAAATACACATATGTTTAGACAAAATATGACCATTACATATGCATATCAGGTCTCGCATAGGTATAAGGCTGAGAAAAAGACTGGACTCAGATTATAAGAATCTTGGGTCATTTGTAAGTCAATTTGGATGATAATATGTATGTATGTGTGTATATGAATGTATGTGTATAAAATTCTGTTCTGAAAATGATTTGAAGCAATTTATATCAGTAAAACATAGATGAGGAAATCAGGATGAAGGAAGAAATTAGAAAATCCAAGGGAATAAGTACCTAAGCTAGGAAGTCCTATGTAGTTAAAAAAAAAAAAAAAAGTGAATAGGAAATTCAATTCCAGGTAGAAGTAGATGTGATTAGTTACAAGATTCTCACTTGTCCACAGAAAACAGCTGTATTCCGATGTCGTTTTATAAGATTGTTTCTTTTTTTTACTATCCATACACGTATCATCTGTAAACAGAAGGTTTTACTTCTTCGCTTATGACTTGGATGCCTTCTGTTTCTATTTCCTGCCTCATTGCTCTGGTTAGGACTTCTAGTACGACACTGAATAGGAGTAGGCCGAGGGGACACCCTTGTCTTTTTCCTGAGCTTAGAAAGCTCTGAACACCTCACCGTTGAGTATGATGTTCGCTGTGGGTTGATCATAGAGTGCCTTTATTTTGTTAAGATGCCTTCTTTATGTACCCAATTTGTTGGGAGCTTTTATCATGAAAGGATGTTGAATTTTATCAAATGTTTTTTGCTGCATCTATTGAACACGTATGTTTTGTTCTATTAATGTATCACATTAAGTTACATTGCTTTCCAAGGATAAGTTACACTTGATTGTGGTGTACGTTCTTTTAATGTGCTGTTGCATTCGGTTTGCTAGTATTTTATTGAAAATGTCTGCGTATATTCCTTCATCAGGAATACTGACCTATAGTTTCGGTTTTTTTTTTTCTCGTATCCTTACCTGGCTTTGGTATCAGGATACTCCTGGCCTCATAGAATGAGTTCAAGAGTGTTTCCCCTCCTCAGGTTTTTGGAACAGTTTAAGAAGGATTCATGTTATTCTTTAATGTTTAGTAGAACTCACTGGTGAAACCGTCTGCTACTGGTCTTCTCTTTGGTGGGAGGTTTTTTATTACTGTCTTAATCTCCTTCCTCACTGGTCAGTCCAAATTCTCTGTCTCCATGACTCGGGCTTGGCAGCTTGCGCACATCCGTTTCTGGACTCACGCTCTTCGGTGTCTCAGAGGTCCCTCGGAGGGCTGCTCTTTTCTTCCAGCTCATTTTTAAACTGATTCCTAAAGCAGACATAAAAAGGGGGACAAAAACATAGGCCCCCCAGAACCAGCACACAAGGCACAGCTAGGGGACAGGCCAACTCCCCCGAAGACGCATTTGAGCGTCTCCCTTAGGGCGTCCTCTCCCTAGAGGCGTCTGCTCTTCCGACAGCATGACAGTCCTCCCCTTGCCTTTATGGCTGCGCGGGCTTTTTACATGTCTTTGGATAAATGAAGTCTTGGTCAGTTTTCAGCTTTGTCAGAGTTTTCTGAGTTCTTCCGTGCCTGGCATCTTTGCGGCACGCGTGTTTGTGACATTCACGGATGCTGGTGCCTGTGGCCGTGCACTTGTACTGTTGTAGAGCGTTTCCTTGTGAGACTGCGCGCGTCGGGTCCGTTGTCGACAGACTTCCGGGTTATGTCCAGTTGTTTTTTGGGGGTTTGTTTGTTTGTTTTTAGGAATATGCTGCGTGTTGCACTTGCCTTCTGGTATTGGTCTTTTTTTTTAAATACAGGTTGAAAAGTATTTCTTAATTTTTGCTTTCAATTTGTCCCATGTCAGCTGTTTACTTTTCTCCACTTTCTTTCCCTTTTTTGGACTGACCGTTTCCCCCCCGTTCTCCTTTTTCCCCGTTGCTAGTTTGAAAGTGATGTACTCATTCCATGAAGAGTAATGAAGAAACTTCAAGATGATACTTACAAAAGTCGAAGGTTAACGTCTTTTCCCTTCTCCTAATTTATAAACTATTGTTTGGTGTTTTAATTCTACTTTAAACTGCGAAAGGTACTATTGTTTTATTTAGTCTAATTTGTGTAAATACACTTACATATTCTAGTGTACTTATATTTTGATTTTTCTTGTCCTCTACACTCTTTATGTCCCCAGACTTCACCTCCTATCTCTCTTTCTGTCTCACATACACTCTTTACAGTTTCACTGAGAGAACAGGACTAGCAGCAAACATTCTGTCATTTTTTGTGTACCTGAATATGTCCTTATTTTGCCCTCATTCTTAAAAGATGCTTTTTCTGGTAAAATAATTCTAGGTTAACACTTGTTTTCTTTCAATCCACTGAAAATATTCCACTTTTAGATTAGTTTCTGTTGCAAGTGATGACGCGTCGGTTCTCAGTCTTTTCCTTTGCAGGTCATTTTTCCTCACTGGAAGCTTCTGTGACCTTCTCTCGGCCGTCGCCGTCACTGACTTGCAGACCGGTCACGGGGTGCCGGTGTGGATTCTTCCATTTACACACTCAGGGATTCAGTAGGAATTCTCAGGGACTGTAGCTACAAAGGCGGCCTTAGCCTTATTCTTTCTCTTTCTCTTTCTCTTGGAATTCCAGACAGATTTATGAGAGACCTGCTTATTTTAGACTCCATTTTTCTTAACTTTTCTTTCATATTTTCTCTGTATTTTATCTTGGATAATTTTTTAAAGATTTATTTTGCAATTCACCAATTTTATCTTCTGCCATGACTTAAGTTAAACCTACCCATTGAGTTTGATAATTCAGTTATGTTTTATTTATCTTTTATAATTTCGTTCTTTTTCAAATCTATGGTAAACTTTTCCACTTTTTAATGACAAAATTATCAAGCATGAAAATAGTTGAAAAAATAGTATAATGAACTGCTATATATTGAACACTAGATTCAACAGTCTTAATATTTTTTGCCATATTTGCTTTATAAATTTATTTGTCTTTTTTAAAAAGATTTTGTTTATTTGACACAGAGAGAGAGATCACAAGGAGGCAGAGAGGCAGGCGGAGAGAGAGGGGGAAGCAGGCTCCCCGCTGAGCACTGAGCCCGAAGCAGGATCATGACCTGAGATCATGACCCGAGCCAAACGCAGAGGCTTAACCCACTGAGCCACCCAGGCGCCCCATCTATTTATTTTTCTATTGTCTTTTGTTTTTCTGTGTGTGCAGTTTTCATTTCTTGTAATTCTGTTTTTGCCAAGCTTTTTGAAATAAGCTGTAGACATCACAACGTATTACCCCTAACTGCACTGATACAGTGTACATATAACTACTTCAGCATAGCTCTCTAAGAATACATGTCTTTCCTTACATATCCATGATATCATTACTATAGCTAAGAAAAATATCAGTAATCTAATGTATTTAATATCTAGTCTATATTAAAATACTCCCAGTTGTCTCATGTTTATTTCACCAATCAAGATCCAAAAAGGACTCTTTTTTCCCCAACACTTTATTTATTTGACAGAGAGGGAGAGAGAGAGCACAAGCAGGGGGAGCAACAGAGGGAGAGGGAGAAGCAGGCTCCCCCAGGGCATGAAGCCCCATTCGGGACTAGATCCCAGGACCTTGGGATCATGACCTAAGCCAAAGGCAGATGCTTTGCTGACTGAGCCACTGCCCCATTGAAGACTCATGTCTTCAATTCTTACTCTGCCTCGTTTTATTATTTTTTTTAAAGATTTTATTTATTTATTTGACACTCAGAGATCACAAGTAGGCAGAGAGGCAGGCAGAGAGAGAGGAGGAAGCAGGCTCCCCGCCGAGCAGAGAGCGCAATGCGGGGCTTGATCCCAGGACCCTGGGATCATGACCTGAGCCGAAGGCAGAGGCTTTAACCCACTGAGCCACTCAGGCACCCCTTCCTCATTTTATTTTTAACAGCTTTGCTGAAATATAACTAATGTACAGCAAAGCACATATTAAAGGGTGAAGTATGATAAATTTTGACATATGTATAAAACGTGAAGCCATCGATACAATCAAGGTGTGAACATACCCTATCACCCAAACACTTCCTTGTTTCCCTGTGCACCCATCCCATCTCCCTGATCCCCAACTCCCAGGCAACTGCTGATCTTTTTGTCACTATAGATTAGAGCGCATTTTCCAGAGCTTTATATAAATGCAATTGTATGATATGTACCCTTTTTACCTAACTTCATTCATTGTGAATAATTATGAGATTTACCCACGTTGTTGTAGTAGTCAATAGTTTATTCCATTTTACTGCCGAGTATTTTCTTTTTTTTACTGAGATACAGTGTACGTATGACATTCGCTTCAGTTGTGCAGCACAATTACATGTAACTGTATATATTGCGAGATAAACCTGATGAGTCTAGTTAACATCAATCATCACACAGAGTTACTGGGTTTTATCCTTGTGAAAGTTTGTACGATCTACTCTCTTTGCGGCTTTCAAATACACGGTACGGTGTTATTAACTATGGTCACGTTCCCCTTTCAGGACTTAGTTCTTTTATAAAAACACAGAATGCTTCATCAACTTGAGTGTCATGCTTGCACGGACGCGTGCTACTTCTCTCTGTATCCTTCTGATTTTATCAGATGTGCTGCCGAAGCAAGCACTGAGTGGTATTTCATTTTATGGACAGACCACCGTTTCGTTACCCACCGACCTGCTGATGGACCCTTGGGTTGTTTCCGGTCTTCAACTCTTTCAAACAGGACCCAGACTAGGGCGAAAGAACAAGGCAGCTCGTGCTCACTCTCAGGTTCACACACATTCCACGTGCCTCACCTCGCGTGGGTCTGGGTCACAGACGACACTGCTAGGAACATGTGCATCAAGTCTGGACACGGACATGACACATGCCTTCGTTTTTCCTGGGTAAATACCTAGGCGTGGAGTGGCAGGGTCAAAGGGTACATGCTCTTTTCACTTTTTTAGAAGCTGCTAAACTGCTTTCCAAAATAGTTGTGACCGCCTGACCTTTGTACAAGCCACGTAGGGCATTCCGGTCCCTCCGCTTACTCCAGCACTCGGTATGGTTAGCCTTTTGGGTTTCAGTCTTTCCCGTAGATGTGTCATGATACCTCACTGTGCCTTTGCCTTTCTCTAATAACTCATGAAACTGAGCATCTTTTCATCTGCTTATTTGCGATCTGTGGATTGTCCTTGAGGTAGTGTCTTTTCAAATCTTTTGCCCATTTGTAACTGGATTGTTTGGCATCTCTGAGATGCAGAGGTATCTGATACCTCAAATGCGGTTTCTTGCCAGGTACAGGTTCTGTAGTACTTGCTCCTAGTAGGTGGCTTGCCTTTTCATTGCCTTAACATTGTCCTTTGAATGGCATGAGTTTCTGGGTTTATCAAAGTTCACATGATCAATTGTTTCATGCTTTTTGTGTCATTTCAAGGAAATTTTCCAAGTCCAAAGTCATTAAGATTTTCTGTTTACTTTTGGAAATCTTAGCTCTTAGATTTTGGTCTTTTTCCGTTATGGTTAATTTTAAATTTGGTCTGAGGTAATGGTTGAGTTTCATTTTCTCAACACGATATCCAGTAGCTCCATCACAACTTGATAAAAAGGTGATTACTTCTCCGTTGAAATGCCTGGTCAACATTGTTTAAAATTAATTGATCATGTATGTACAGGCCTATTTTGGAGTCTATTCTGTTCTACTTTTGTGTTTCTCTTACTTCTAATGCCACACACATTTCCTGAATTTTGAAATCAGCTTGTCAATCTCCAAAAAAAAAAATTTTTTTTAAAGGCAGCTGAGATTTTTTTAATAGAATTGCTTCAAAAAAAAAAAAAAAAAAAAAAGGATTGTTTTGAATCCATAAATTGATTTGTGAGAAATTCACACCTTCACCATGTGGAGTTACCTGGTCTATGACCACAGTCTCTCTCCCAGTCACTCAAGTCTCCTTTTGTGTCTCATTCTGAGTTTTATAAGTTTCCGGTGCTCAGGTCTTGCCCATCTTTTGTCAAATATATCCTTCCAAGGTAGTTAATATTTTTTGTGTCACATTAAATTTATTGCTTACTAGTGTCAAATTGATAGTTCTACTTTTTAAAAATTGGTTGTTTATCCTAAAAACTTAAAAGTTGTAGCTTTTTCTGTAGATTCCAAAAGTTTTTTTAAATAAATGATTATGATTTCTGAGAATAAACTATTTTCACTTCTTTTCTAATATGGAACTGGCTTTTTTCCTTTTTCTGGCTTTATTGCATTGGCCATAACTTCTAATACTAGTTCTAATACTAATGCACAGACATAGTAACAGCAACTATCTTTCCCTCCCTGATACTAGAGGGAAGGGAATCCGACTGTCACTATGAACTGGGATATTAGCTACAGGTTTTCTGGGGTTGCCCTTTACCATATTGAGGACATTTCCTCCTTTTCCTAGAGGAGAGTTTCTGTCATGAATAAATATTGCACTTGCTGACATTTTCTTACGAATTTTTGCATCTGTGTTCATGAGGAATATCAGTTTGTAGTTCTTTTGTTGTTTTCTTATTCCTGTGTTTTTCTGGTCTTTGTATTGGGTCAATGCTAGTCTCATAAATTGAACTGTGAGGCATTCCTTTCTCTTGAATTTGATGGAAGAGTTTAGCATTAGCACACTGTCCTTTCCAAGTCTTAACAATGTTTGGCCTTTTTAATTTGTTGTGTTTTTTTAAAGATTTTATTATTTTGTGTGTGTGTGTGTGAGAGAGAGAGAGAGCGCACACAAACAGGGAGGGGCAGAGGGAGAAGCAGGCTCCCTGCTGAGCAGGGAACCCAATGCAGGACTCAGTCCCAGAACCCTGGGATCATGACCTGAGCCAAAGGCCAACGCTTAACCAACTGAGCCACCCAGGTGCCCCAATCTGTTTTTGTTCTGTTTCTCAGGTTCCAAAATAGGATTCAAGTTAAGGGTAATGAAGAAGAAAACAAAAATGCTGGGCATTAATCATTTGCGGCCAGGCACATTTACACGTTTAATCTCTGTTAGTTACCCCAGGACTAGAAGAGTGCATTATACTCCCATTTTACAAGTTTATCAAAGGAGGTTAAATAACTTGCCTAGTTATGGGCAGTCCTGGAGTTCAGATTGGAAAGCACATCTCCAAGTCTCCAGAAACTGTATCCTCTTTCCTACACCAGATGAGCAAATCGAATTGTCCATCTCGTAGTCTGAGAAACTAAGGTCTGGGAGTATGAATTTAACTTCCCTTCATAGTCGCTGAATGCACAGGTTGTGTACTGAACTAGACTCTGTAGTCCCCCTGCCGTTGAAGCTGCCTGGGGTAGTTCCAGAAATAAACTAACTTAGTTTGACACCAAAGAAAATAGAAATAACGTGATAATTGAAGCAACAGCACTATAATATGAAGACACGAGGAAGAGATGAATTTGCTGAGTCCGAGCTGGAGTTCGTAGTGATGCCAATCGGTTCCGACTCGTGACTCTTTCAAAAGCATGCAGCAGCCCAAGAAAATGGGCACAGTCCGCATGGAAGCGGGGTGTGAGGACTGGCAAAACTGACTGGGAGGGTCGGGGGGCATGATCTCCCCAGCGTGATTTTACTTTTTTTTTTTTTTTTTTAAGATTTTATTTATTTGACAGGCAGAGATCACAAGTAGGGGGAGAGGCAGGCAGAGAGAGAGGAGGAAGCAGGCTCCCTGCTGAGCACTGAGCCACCCAGGTGCCCCTCCCCAGCATGATTTTAGAAAGCACAATCAGCTGATAGGAAAGAAGGAGTGATGTTCATTCAAATTAGAAAGCAAATGATGTGCCAATGTCTTGAATAATAGGGAAAGAATGAGGCTTAATGAGGACACGGGACATGCCCACTAGCAGTGATGGAGTGGAACGGGGAAAAGGAAGTCTGCCATCAGGGACGGGCTCTAAAAACCATCAGAGGGCAGAACGATTGTGAGTGACGACAAGTTCCGCGCAGGATCATGTAAGAGACGGCTTCAGCTTATGTGTCTACCTTGCGTGTGTCATCTGCCTTCTCAACCATCTCCTGGGTGCTCACTACACGCCAGGTGCCATGGCTCCCTCTTCAAGAACACGTGAAGGGGGCGCCTGGGTGGCTCAGTGGGTTAAATCCTCTGCCTTCAGCTCAGGTCATGATCCCAGGGTCCTGGGATCGAGCCCCACATCCGGCTCTCCGCTTGGTGGGGAGTCTGCTTCCCCCTCTCTCTCTCTGCCTGCCTCTCTGCCTACTTGTGATCTCTCTCTCTGTCAAATAAATAATAAAATCTTTAAAAAAAAAAAAAAAAGAACACGTGAAGGACAAGCTCTTGCACTCCTGTATCTGCCAAAGTAGTGAGCGGAGAAACACGGGGATGTGAGGGGTTCGTGTACCAGAAAGTTAAAGTGGCATTGGAAAGAGAATGCGGATTTTAGCTTCTTTATGCCAAAGACGACTTGTTACAGAGGTACCGTGTCTGCTCTCCAAAGCTGTATGCATAGATTCAGTCCTGAAATGCTACAGAAAGAATAGGCAAAACATCAAAATTCTGAAGAAAATCTGCATATAGCCCTAATAATAGGAAGAATGGGTCATTTAAATTCAGTTTGGGGGCATTCTGATCTCGCAGTCTTCCCAGGTGGTTCTTCTTTTTCCCCTTTCTGTGAACCGCTTGACTGTGTTATCGCCAGATACCTGTAATCCAGCTTGAGGCCCCCGAGGAAGCTGGGGCCCGGGGCTGACGGACCTCTCTTGCTCGGCGCAGATGGCGAGAAACACAGAGCAGCCAAGCACGGTCCCTGCGATCTGCGCCACCGCAGCCCCGTCCCTGTGGCCCTCGGCACCTTACGTCATCGTCTGTCCTTCACTCACCTGTGTCGCACAAGTGACCGCCGGCCTGCGGATCCCCGGAGGAAGGTGGTCCCGCAGCGGGCGCTCGGGGTCTCGAACCTTCCTCCCAGCCAACGACCCTCACACAAGCCCGGCCTCACCTGCCCGGCAGGTGGAGCAGATACGTGTGATCTCCGGCTCTTCGCACACACTCAGCTCGCGGCAGCGGCCTACGGTCCACGCAGTGTGGCGGGCGCTCTGCGAAGCCTCTGCACGTCTGGCACGTCGTCTCCCGCAGAACCCTCGCAGAGGCCGACAGTAAGCTTTTCACTCCAGATGCCAGGCTGTGCCACCCCAGGAGACCACGTCACCCTTCTAGGTCTCGAGTGGCAAAGGCTGAGCCCGCAGCTCTCGTGGTTTTAATGCCCCGTCATGCTCTGCGCTTCAACCTGAACACTTCAGACACTATTTCTTTGTAGGAAGAGCCTGCTGGGACAGTGACGGTCCTGAACTTATACATCACCAGGGCTCCCCGCCTGCCTGTGGGTCACAGGGGTGAGTCACGCTTGCTGTAATAAAAACAGACATGGGCCAACAAGTCACCGGCAGCCCCGGCTCCATTTCCGCAGCTCGGTGAGGCCTGCACCCCTCTCTGGGGAGGTCAAGTGCACAGAGGCAGCCATGCTGAAAGAGGGGACCACACCCCACCCCATTCCTGTAGAATCCTAAACACAGCCAGCCCCCTGCCCAGGAAGGTGACCCCAGGGCCGAGTGATAGAGGAAAGGGGCACGTTCCAAAGCCTCGCCACTGCTGACCCTTCCTGTCCCTCTCCCGCTCTCCACGAGGACCTCTGCGCCCACCCACCGCTCGCACTTGCGGAGCGCGGCTCCCCGTTACTGCTCCCTTCCCTGCAGAACTTGCGAGGGGCCTTCTCAAACCACTTTCAGCTGGTCTTCCCTTCAGTCCTCCAGAACTCCTTAGGGCACCCAGGTCAGACCGCCACGACTCTGCTCTCTCCATCCGCTGCCCTGCTCTCCCTGACTTCTGGTGGCTGGGCGGCCGGTGACCCGCTCAGCTCGCCCCCACCTCCCGCAACTGCACTTGGCCCTGGGCTGCTCCCCACGGTCCGGCTGGTGTCTCAGCTGGCACCCATCTGCAACACACTCTCTGCTTCTTGAGCTGCTCGGGCTGTGCCTCCAGCCCCTCCCTGTGAGTGGGGCCCCTCCAGCACCAGCCTGGTCTTCCCATAGCCACGTGCCAGCATCTCTTCAATGGCTTCGAAGCCATCTCACCCACCGGAACGGCCTTCCTCCCGCCAAGCTCGCGTGTCGGTTGAGGATCTGGGCGCCCGGGACGTGGCTTGCGGGCTTTCCCGTGCTGGTCCCTGCTGTCTCAGCAGTGGTGTCTGGGGCATGCTTTGTAGCTCCGCACCACGTTTCGCTAACCTCAGCCCCATCTCCTTCCCCAGCCCGGCTGCCAGAACTTCCCCTGCGTCATCTTTCCCTGCTTCGTCCCAAGCTCAGGCTAGGCTCCCAGTTGGCCTGCGTTCCAAACCCGCCTCTCCGTTTCACCCGCCAGCCTGCCTGCCGGGTGAGCATTCCGAAATCCAAACCTGGCCTTTTCACTCCTAAGCTAACCTGTTCTGAGGTGCTGTCAATCCCTGCACTCTGGATTTTCGAATATACTATGCCATGCTAAACCGCACAGAAGTGTGTAAATACTGCTCCCGACACTGCACACTCAGCACCGCACCTGCCCAGGCATCCCAGGCGGGAGACCCCTGTCCTCAGGGCCTCTGTGTGGCCCAACGGCAGGGGACACGCCCAGGGGTGGAGCCATGCGCCCTCCCAGCTGCATGAGCAGCCCTGCACAGGCTCCCTGTGCCCCAGGCTCCCCCTCCGGGCAGTCGCCCCCAGCCACGGAGCTCACCTTCAGGTGCTTGCTCTCTCCGTGTCTCAAAGCTGTGAGCAGGACTGCTCCGCCCACTTCGTGTAAGTGCTGGCGACCCCCATATGCTTGGGCATCTGCGTCCCTGTCCGTAGGATGACTGTGCGCGCTGTCTTCACCTTCACGGCTGCAACCGTTGCACTGTGTGACCATACTGCGATTTTCTTAATCTCTTATGCTGATGAAGATTAGGCTACCTTCAATTTTTTCTTTGCTACTACAAGTATTATTGCTCCAAACGTCCCTCTACATGTCTCCCTGGGCTGTAGGAGTGGAGTTGCTGCGGTTTAACGTGATTTTCTAACATGAGCACAAGCATTTACATTCTCACCAGCCATTTTCACTGTCTGAAAATCCCTAGTGCTCTGTCCCCATCCCTTGGAGTACTACCAGGCTTCTCAATTTTTGCTGACCTGTGAGGTTTTATGTTTTCTTCGTTTTTCTAGTGAGGCTGAACCTCTCATTTGCTTCTCCTCTTCAGTGATTTGCCTGTTTTTGTTTTTGCCTATTTTAAAAATTCAGTTTTATATATTTTCATTGATTTATTGTAACTTTATATATTCTGGATAATATTGTTTTATTGATAAATACAGGTATTTTATGAGACAGACACTAATGTTTTATCACAAAATCCAAGTTTTAATTTGATTGTAATTTCATGTACCGGCCTTTTCCCCAACCCAGGGAATGTTTCCATCATGACATTCGTGATCCTTTCTTATTCACCTCAAGAGCCTTTCCTGGCTTCCCAAGGCTGCGTGTCCCCTGTCGTCTCTGTCCCCCACAGTAGTGACGCTCACGGCTGCCTGTGCTTCTGTCAGACCCAGCTTTTGCCCCGACCCGGCCTGGATGAAGCGTCCTCCGTCCGCAGCCAAACTCCTCCCCACCGTCACTTTGGTTATCTGAGGGGCTGCTTTTCCCAACCAGATTTTGGGAGTTTAATCCCTTTTGTTCAGACAGGGGGATCTGTAGGAAGCACCAGGGCCCTTCAGACTCAGGATCCACACGGGGAGGGGGAAGGGGTGGGTGGTCTGGGTGCGAAAGCACCTCCGTCAGAGCTGGGAAGCCAAGAGCAAAACCAGGTATCTGGAGGAGCGTGGTGGAGAGTCGGGACGTACTTGGCTCATCCCACAGCCAGGCGCCAGCGTGTGGACGGGAATCCATCCCGGGGAGCAACAGGGAAAACTCACCTGGACAGCGGGGTGAGGTCCGGGGCTGAAGGTGGGGAAGGGGGCCCAGGGGAGTTAAGAGCTCGCAGGTGGGACTGTGCTCCCTTCACTGTGTGTGGGCGGGTCCCAGGCTGGCTGCTGCCAGCCAGAGCTTCGCAAGGTCACCCAGGACGCTGTGCAGTCACCGCGGCTCTCCCCTGTGCCAGGACCCCACAAGGTGCAGAAGGGCTGCTCAGGGCTAATGTCAGTCAGTGCCCCCTCCTGCACACCCTGCCCCCCCCCGGGCGGGGGTCACTGCTGATCCAAAAGAACAGGGCTGGGCTCCACCATCATGTCACTAGATGCAGGGAGGACAGTTCACACACAGAAATGGGGGAGAGGGAGGGAGAGAAGAGGAAGGAGGGAGAGAGGCGGGAGCGCCATCTGGTGGCAGGTCCTGCCACCAGCATGTCCTCCTCCGGGCGAGGCCCACAGGAGCCCGTCATTGCTGGACGCTCCCTGGCTCTTGAAACAGCAGGTAACCTCTGCTTCCCGAACAACAGCGCAGAGCGGGCTCTCAGTGGACAGATTCTTTCTGCAGCTTTAGCTTTCCAGGAAGTGGAGCAGCTGGTGCAGAGTTCACGCAGTACGGTCTCTCCTGTTAATGGCATCTTGCTTCTGTTGGTCCATTTGTTACGAGGACCGGACCGATACTGACACATTAGTGGCAAGTAAATCATGTGCCTTGTGTGCATGCAGAAGGTTGACTCCTGGTTCTGTGGGTATTGACGCATGCCGGTCACATATCCACCGCTACGGTACAGGGAAGAGCTGCAGAGCCCCCAAATTTCTCTGTGCGTCGCCTATCCCCCCTCCTCCCTCCCCCACTCTTGAACCTCAGGCAGTGACTGATCGAGGTCTCCATGGCTCTGCTTCTCCCAGGATGTTGGAGAGCAGGACTCACACAGTTCCCGCCGTTTCTGGCCGGCTGCTGTAACATCCCCTGGTCTGGAAGGACCCCAGTTTATTTACCCATCACCTGCGAAGGACAGCTCGGTCACTTCCAGGCTTGGGCGATAATGTGGAAACCTGCTGTAAACGTCTGTGTGCGGGTGTTTTTGTGGACATCGTCTTCAGACCCTGTGGGTAAATAGCAAGGGGTAGGACTGCTGGATGGTGTGGTGAGTGTTTAGCTTTTGTAAAAATCCCAGAGAGCTGTCTTGGGGCAGGGAGTGCGAGTTCCCGCGGGCTGCGCCCCTCCTCTGGCACCAAGCGTGGTGTCCTCAGCATGCAGACAACCGTAGAAGTCTGGCCCTCCTGGTGGGTCTGTAGTGGTGTCTCAGCACGGTTTGTAGTTCGCGTCTCCCCGCTGACAAATGGAGGAGAGCATCTTCCCATCAGCTTGTTTCCCATCTGTGTGTCTGTGGGGAGATGCTTGTTCAGGTCTTTGCCCATTTTTGTAATTGAGTCGTTTGCTTGTTGTTGAGTTTTAACTTTGTGTATTTTGGGGACCAGTGCTTTATGTGTTTTGCTATATATTTTAATACAGATGAAATAAATGCACAGATGTGTAAATGAAACATATTTGTTGAGCTGTCACTTAAAATCACCTCCTACACCGTCTGTGGTATGTGTCCAACATTTTGGGAAATATTACTTAAATCTTCGGATTGAGGGGAAAGAGCCAGTTCCAACAATAGTGACGCATTTCCATGCTCATATAATTAAAGCAAGTAACTGTAAAAGCGTCATGGAAACTCACTTCTCACAGACTTGATTAGACATCGCTATTTTAGAACCGGTGGACTACTGGGACCCACCGTGCTTGAGGCTTAACACATACCAACATCTGTCCAATACCATATGCCTTGGGAACTCACTCACATGCACATTTACATTGTATTTATTTCAAAAGTTTCTGGATAGCTGTTTTAGCCTGTTCAGGCTGCTGTAACAAAGTACCCCAGTCTGGTTCCTGGCATACAACAGAAACTGGTCTCTCTCTGTCTGCAGACTGTTCGTCCAAGATCAAGGGGACCGTGTGGTCAGGTTCTGGGGAGGGCACTCCTCTGAGCTGCGGACAGCTGTCTTCTCACCACGTGTCCTCACCAGTGAAAGGGGCCTCTTTTCAGAGCACTCCTGAGGGCTCCACCTTCACGACCTAATCACTCCCAAAGGCCCAGCTCCTACTACCATCACCCTCGGCGGGGCGGGGGGGTGTCAACAGATAAACTGGGGGCAGGGAAACAGCACTAACATTCTCTCCCTAACAACAGCTAACCGTGATCACTGCTCTTAGCGGTAGGTCCTGCCATGTCAGCCGCACTGCCTATGCACAGGTAAGTTTTAACTTCAGTTGATGAGTAGTGAACACCACGGAACTTCTTGTGTGTACCAGACCTTTCCGGGAGATACGCGGAACGGGGACCACGTAGAGACAGAAGCATCCTTCCAACAGGAGGCCAGAGCTCTCATGGCCGTTCATCATTTACTTGCGTGTTAAGTTTCTTAACTTCCCTGAGGCTCAGCTGATAGATCTAAAGGAAGCAACAGCTCAGGTTCTCTCTGGCTCGGACACTTTTTTTCCTTAAGATTTTATGTATTTATTTGACACAGAGAGAGAGAGAGAGCACAAGCAGGCAGAGGGGCAGGCAGAGGGAGAGGGGGAAGCAGGCTCCCCACTGAGCAAGGAGCCCGACATGGGACTCGATCCCAGGACCCAGCGATCATGACCTGAGCTGAAGGCAGAGGCTTAACGACTGAGCCAGCCAGGCGCCCCGAGCTCGGACACTTTCATGATTCCGTGGCTTCTGGACGCTTCCCTGGAAGACACAGGAAATGCTGCGTAGGGGAGGCTACGGGCAGAGCAGGCCGGGTCACAGCAGGAAGGAAGCCACAGCTTCACCTCAGCCTCGGCCGAGCCCTGAAAGGAGCAGCGCGGTTGGGGCTGGAGCTCCCGAAGCGACCTACTTCACTGGACGACTCCCTGCGGAACACCATGTGGCGCCAAGCTCCACGCTCACAACGGAAACAAGACACACAAAACCCGGTGGAAAACCTCCTGCAGAAATTTCAGTCTCGAACGCGACAGCTGCCACCATGCTGGGACAGTCAGCGTCGCAAGTCCAAGCTTCGTCCAAAAGCCCAGCCTGGGTAGCCGGACCCACCCGCTCCAGGGCCCGGGGAGGCCAAGGGCTGAAGACTCACCCTTGCCCCGTCTCTTGTCTGGGGAGCAGGGAGAGTCTTCCCGGAGGCTGCTGTGGGCTGTCCACAGTGGACACAGTATTTATGGCCGCATGACCGCCTCCAGGCGAGACGACCATCGTCACGCCCTCCAGACGCTCCGTACAAACGCCGAGCTCCGCGCACGGAGCCGCCTGCCTTGCCGAGTCCCAGAGCCCTGGGCTCCCGGCTGTCGCCGGCTCTGCTCTCCACGCGACCTTCCCCGTCAGCCGCTGACTGTGTCCCTGGAGGCAAAAGGAGAAAGCCAAAAAGTCAGGCGCGATGTGCCCTTTCACAGTTGTAGAGACTCCAAACAAGACCGGGAAAAGAAAATGCCGGAATTGGTTTCCCTCCGTCCACGAAGCACCGGAGAATCCTTCTCTCACGCCATCATCATCTGTATAAGGAGCATTTGGGGAGGCAGGTGTCTCAGCCTGGTTCGGCCAAGAGCAGAGTCTGCCACAGGCTTCTGTGCGGGGGCCGGTCTGGCGATGGGACTGTACGGAACGCGGGTCGGGAAGAAAGCCCAGGGCCACATAGTCCCCAGTTGGGGCCACTGTGCCCCCGACGGGGGACCTTCTGATGGGCATTATGAAATGCATCCCAGAACCACCTGCCCGCCTGATGGAAAGAAAGTCCAAAGGGCCATTTCTACCCTAATATTTCTGGGTGGTTTTTAACCAAGTAAAGCTTGGCACAAACTGTACCTTGACATAGACCCAGCATGTTCTCCCTCTGTTGACGATGGGAATCTGAAGCGCGACTTGGAACCCAGAAATAAAAATTAAGTCCCCCAATAACAACAGAACGGGGCCCCAGGCATCTGGCAGCCATCGGCCTAGCGTCCAGGCTTCTCCCTCTCCCAGGGTGACGTTACTTCCCCGCACCCAGCAATCTCGCCAAAGAGAAGGAGCTGGACAGGCAGCCCAACGGCACGACTGCAGAGAGAGGAGACAAGCCTGCTGGGAAGGGCAGCCCTGGGGACCCTGCCAGGGGGAGCACAACGCTTCCGGGGCTGAGGCCGCTCCGAGCTCCAGGAAGCAGCCCCGGGGAGAGGCTGCCAACGCCGACCCAGGGTTCGAGACACCTGGTTTATACGTGTACATGGGCTCAGCTGCTTACTAGTG